ATCCATAATAATAATAATAATAATAATAATCCATAATTAATACTTTTATTTAAAGTGATTTTATTGAAAATGAATAAATGTTTTAAACAAGATTTTTCCAGTTAAGTGTGAGAAAAAAAGCTCAGTTTTAAGATCAGGAAATCCTCACCACAAACGGTTCACCATCGATGGGTGTTTCCAGAAGCTTTATGGTCTGTTTTAACAACGTTTTAACACTTTTAATGAATCCTTTTTATTTTCATTGTCAGTAAAAAATATTTGCTTCAATTAAAGTAAAATTACAGTCAAATAAAAGCGAAAATTATAATCAAAGACATTACCATTCCTATAACTTTTACACTGAGATGTTACAGTTTGATCCATTCCTTGAAGATATAAAATATAAAACTGTTAGTTTGTTTTAAAACTGTGTATTTAGTTTGATCTGAGGTTTTACTCCCACACACTGTGTGTATCAGTGTAAAAATGTGAATAAAAAGAACAAAAAAAGCTTTTGGATGTTGAATTTTGGTAAATTTTGGACTAAACTTTGTTAAAAGAAGTTAATCGGTTTAACTCTGAGGTAAATGTGCTTTCTTTYACTTCTTTACTCTCTTTATTCAAGATGAATTCATGTATTTGTGTTACAGCATTTATATGACAATGTTATTTTGTCAAAATAGCTCTGCTAAATTTATAAATACTGACAAAAATAGAGCTAAAAGCTTATTTTATTTAAAAAGGAAGGTTTTTAATTACTAAAGTCTGAGTTGAAAATTTATGTAGTTTTGTAATAATTTTATACAAATGTAAAGAAAAATAAAAAAGATGAATACAAAATAAGATAAATAAATGGTATGAACAGAGATATTCTGAGATATTTGTGTAACTGTTTGCTATTTTTAGCAAATTATCTATTAAACTGTTGACCCTCCTGCTGCCCTTAGTGTTAAACGTATTTTGACCTTAGTCCGGCAGGAGGGTTGAAAAAATCCACAACTGTTTTGTTAAACAAAGTTRCTTTTTAGGAAAATCTGAACTTTTGTTGAGAAACTTTCCAAAAATTTCAGCTGTAATCATAGTTTCAGAAAAAAATAATGTTTAAATTGATAGTAAAACRTGGTACAGATTGTGTTTCGTATTTTATGTTTGTGATAAAAGACAAACAAAAACGTTTGGTTAAAACTGTACAGAGAAAGGAGTTGTATTTTTGTCTTAGTTCAGTTTAAATAAAGCATTTTCTTTAACCACTGATGTTTCCACTTCATGCTGGCTAAGCAGCATTCAGACAGCATCTCGAGGCACCTCACAAGTCTGCACCGCAAAAAAACAAACAAAAAAAAGTGTTGTTGCATGTTGAACTTTGAGTGTGAGAAACACCTCTCACAGGAAGTTATAAAGACAGATTACCATCTTCTGTGGAACCTGAGCTCACGGTTCTGTAAATATATTGATTTTAGTCAGATAGAATAATAATCCTCAGGTTTTTTTATTACATTCATGGAGTGGTTAAAACGACCGGGTGAACCAAGGTCTGTCATGACAGTTTCAAGGGAYGGAAGAAATGATGACTAATTTAATTTTACTTCTCTTTTGTTCTTCACAAGCWTAAAATTATCACAGCAACGTTAAAACACAGCAGAGCCTCTAACTCTGATGGAACTGAACACATGAATTAATAAGTGTCTGTAAATGTACCATTTCTCATCAAATCGTTTGAACAAACGTTTCCCTAAAGAAACTTTGACTTGTGGTTTTAGGGGCAGCGTTCTCGGTTTCTTCAGGCTTCAGTATCGACTTGGAGAATCCCAACATTCTTTCTGATGAAAAGAAAGATTTTTTTGGATACAAAGTGCTTCAGTTCTCATCTTCTGGGAACAAAGGGTGAGTTTAAAGCTGGACCTCTGTGGAAATATGTAGCTGCTRTTTTCTGCTGCATCTTTCAGCGATGATAAAAAATATAATCATTAAGCTCCAGTGATGAGCAGGAAGAGCTTGTGGTTTAACACCTTTAATATTCATTACACAGCTAAAATCCTGTTTATGACAACTGATGACTTTTCTCTCAGTTAAATCTTTGTCTGTGTTTGACTTGAGCTTTAACGTGGTCCACAGGGTAATCGTCACTGCACCTCTGCGCCAAAATGGATCAGGAGGAGTTTTCAGATGGGACCAGAACCAAAACACAAGCTGGTTCAACCCGGGTACGCTCACGTTTAACACTACCATAAATTAAAGAGGTTAAAAGAGTAGCTTGGATCAGTAATCTRTRATGGTCTAGGCTTGGATCAGTAATCTTTGAAGGTCCTGTCTTAAATAAAAGTTCTTGGATCAGTAATCTGTAATGGTCGAGGCTTGGATCTGTAATCTGTGATAGTCTGGTCTTGAATAAGGATTCTTGGATCAATAATCTGTGATAGTCTGGTCTTGAATAAGGGTTCTTGGATCAATAATCTGTCATGGTCGAGGCTTGGATCCGTAATCTGTGATGGTTGAGGTTTGGATCTGTAAATAAGTGAAGATGAGCATCAATAAATAATGATTTTGTCTGGATAAAAGAGGAACAAATGTTACCATCTCTACTTGTTGAAAATGTGTTGCATGAAAGTGTTTGGATATGTAGGTAGGGGTATGGTTGTGTATATATTTGTATAGGTAAATGGGTATGGTTTTCAGCAAGGCTAAAGTCATTATAATTACATAGTTATG